AATACATAATTATAATAAAGGTCAATCAAATGGACCAACATGGCGAGGCCATGATGATCCGCTCGGCATCTTTCTTCAGGCAATAATTCTGATGGCTAAAGGGGAAAAAGATCAGCAGTTCCCTCAGGAGTCCTGAGCTAATATATAAAGTATAAGTAACTGAAAACACTGAGTATATTACACAAGTACTGGAGTAGAAGTACTCACAGCTGCTGCTTCTTCACTTAATTATTTATTCAATTTAATAAAAGCGACGCTCCGGCGTCGTCAGGCAGGTGGGTATTCCCCTCACGGGCAGGGGGCGTGACCAGACCCCCGGGGGCGGGGTCAGCGGACACCGCGCCATCCTGCAGGATAAAAGCTGGTCCCGACAGCCTACGGGAGGCTCAGCTGACCGCTCCAAGACCAGGTACGATCACGTGATCACCTTCAGCTTGATTATTTGAAATGCTCAGAGAGTTTCTGATGTCTTCAGACGACATGATTCTGACCAACCACACAGCAGCAAACACCACCGGAGCCGAGGACTGGACGCAGGTGAGCTCACGCGCACATTCAAGCACTTTAACGGAGCTCAGCAACTTTACATGCGGCTGGATGATCGTGGAAATAAACTCGAACTGTGTATTATTGTGGGATCTACAACAATACAATAATTCATAACAATAAACAACAGTCGTGATTTGGTGCTGCATGAATAAAGTGAAGCTGTTTTCTAAACTCGTATTATTAGATTATATTGGTGTAGTCACGTGATGCTGCAGCTCGTTAAAGGGACAGTACACCGCGCTGTTACTGTGTGTGAATAACAACCCGGAGGAAACCATCCGAGTGTGATTTACACGGAGTCACGTCCAGGATGTGTTTGGTTTCCTGTGATGAGTCTCGGTTGGTTCAGTCTGTGAGCTGCACTCAGAATCAGTCAGTTCAACATCTGCCAAAAGTCCAGTAAAACAATCAGCGCGTGTTTTTGTGCTGCTGCACTAAATCGAGCATCTCTGACTGAAGGAAGTGAAATAAATTCATAAATTTCACTTCCAATAAAATCTTTGAGGTGCTCGCGCTCACCGCTGAACAATAACAACCTGATGGTTTAATGCAGAAGCAGAGAAAGCATCATCATAAACACACACTGGGTTTCTCTCACTCTTCATTTAGTGCACAACTCGTTAAAGACAGACTGAGAAACAGGGTCGCTGTACGAAGAGTTCAGTCATATTTATTTGTATTTATTCTCTTTCTCTTGTACATAATCATGGATTTGTTTATTTTAAAAAGTCTATTGATCTTGATCATAATTAAATATATATTATATGTATTATATTTATATATAGATAATATAAACATATTTAGTTAAAACATATTTTATTCATATTTATACTTTCTCACAGACTGTATTTAAAAGATGGAGGTATCCAACAAGGCGTCGCTCACTGATTTTGAAGC